CCTTGAGCCAGAAATTTCAGTTCCACATTCAAACTTCTTGACAGTACAGATAGGAGTCTGCCACAAAGTTCTTACTGAGAGTCATTTCTGAACTCATCCCAAGCTCTGGGGATGTTCAGATCCACAATTTGGTTGGGTACCCTCTCTCTAATAAAGCAAGGATTGTTCATTATTTTAAATAAATACCTTTCAGTGGCTGGATATTTTATTGCCAGATGCACTTTACTGGCAAAATTGCATGTGAATGTACCAGATCAAGGTTACATCATTGGCTATCAGGCCTATGAAGTTTCTACGGTAATTTCAGTTTTAGGTAGTGACCAGAAATGTGAGCGTTTAAAAAGCCCACCTAGCAAACAAGCAGGCTTTTGTAGCATAACCATTCAAGCTGTTACTTTATAATGTACCCACTCCTTCAATGCTGCATTCAAGTGAAGTCTCCTCACCCTTCACCCTTTTCTACAAATATGTTGAAAAACCCACAGGTCCTTATTCTCTTCATCTATTGATATTACATAAAGTGATCATATGATAAAGTTGACAGGCCTAGTTTTTGATACTACGCCTCAGTGTCCTGAAATGTCTTGGTTTTTCATTTCATTAATCAAACTATTTGCATTCATCTTAATATTTGTTAAAGAGGCATTGCTTTACTTAGTAGAATTTCACCTTTGTTTACCCATGCAGTGGAATGAGCGTACACTATGATGAACACTTTGGAGTGAAAAGAAAAGTCAAATGAGTGTACATGCTATCACAACTGACATTTTGCTCAATGTAAATAAAAACACTTGCTCAGTTTTTCTTGATAAATTCATTCAGACACCACATTACTGGAAAAAATACTCCATCACAGGGAATATGCACATGTTGCCACCACAAGGAGTAGGCACGTGTTGCTGTTGAGTAAGAAGCTGGTGCTAACAACACCAGCACATATTTTTTTAAATGCACTTTGTAATAAGTATTTCCAAACACTACAAAATGTACTGCAGAAGAGTACCAGTTTTTGATTTTGAAATTACAGTTTACTCTCTTAATTTTACAGCATTCTTTTAATAATGTAGTTCCATTGACTTCAGTGAAGTAACTCCTGATTTGCCCTAGTGTAAGAGAGAGCTCAGAATTAGATCCATAGACTTTTCTTTCTGAGAGGTTGGGACATTGGGAAAATGTATTGAAGCAACTCAGATACTACAGGGCTCCACCACATAAGAACTTCAAGATAATTTCATTAGCAGGCACTGGGGCACTCTTGAGAAGTTAGGCCTGTCATTTTAAAGTAAACTCTCCATGAACCTGCTGCTACAGCTGCTGCTTTGAGTAGAAGCAGAAACTCAGACACTGGAAGTGACAGCTCTGAAGAGCCTCAGCATTCTAAATTAAATCACTATTTAAAAACTGAAACTAATACTGAAGAGTCCTTTAATGGGATCTTTCATAATATATTTCTATCAATAAGTGCTCCCGAGTGCTAACGTCTGCATTCAGAAATAGCAGAAATCTCTCAAGCCGGAGTTGGAAGAGGCTAATGGGTGTTATTTTAAAATTAGAGCAAGGTATAATATGTCAGATGTTATCCTGTTGTCCAAATAATTAGGATAAACTTGAGCCCTCCATCCTCAATTTGCATCAAAGTTTAGAAGGAATCAGTTTGTGAAAGTTTGAATCTCCCATCAACAGCTTGCAAAGAGCTCCTGAAAATATTCAAAGGAAAATCTATTATTTTAAAATCTGATTTTGGGACAGGTTGGGATATTCTTATTCACATTTGGTAGAACCTTATAAAGCTGGTCTGAAAGCAGATTTTCCATCCTGTGGAAACAAAGTGAGGTTTTGGAATTTGTTGCCATTCCCATCAAGACAAAACAAGAGACCTTTTGAAATGTTTCACAAAAAAAAAGACCAAGCTGCCCCCCCCCCCCAATAGCCTGGTGATTAGGGTACTCCCTTGAGAATGTGGGAGACCCCAGTTCAAATCCCTGCTCTGCCTGATTTGAAACATGGACTTGAACCTCCCACATCCCAGGCAAGCAGGCCAACCTTTTGGGAAAGACAAACACACCTCTACCTATTCCCCTTCCCAGTGAAGATTCCACTGGAATCTTCCCATGAAAACTTGGTTTTGATGAATCAGCATTTATCATGGTCTCCCCACTTACTTATCCAACTTCTCCACCATTATCACACCATTATCTACAGGGCAGGCACAAAGATTTGGATTGATCCTTGGGGTAAAGCTAAATGAAACAGGCACATTATTCTATTGTATTATGTGTCTCAGAACATTACAAAGTATAGCTGCTCCAAATACGGTATCAGTCTTCTATATTCTGCCACAGGTGTCATGGTCCCTGCGTGGACTGATTGGAGGCGAGAGTTGAGAGTCTCTCATTCAGTATCATAAGTTTGACTCTTGCGTCCAATAGCTCCATGATGCCAGCCCCCATCACCCACTTGTTAAATTTTCAAACAAGCAACTTTGTGTTTTCTCCTTTGCTACCCCTCTCACATGGGATGTGCTTCTGTAAACATGCACAACACCAACTCATTATCCACCTTCAAATGTCTCCTTAAAACTCTCCTCTAGTGTGCTGAGGACCACTGCCTGTCATCCTGAGCAATATTGTCTTATTGTTGCCTTGTACTCCCCCATCGGGCTGTCTGTAGCCATGTGTTGTCTTTTGTCTTATACTTAGATTGTAAACTCTTTGGGGGCAGGGATTGTTTTTCTTTCTGTGTTTGCACAGTGCCTAGTACAATGGGATCCTTGTCCAGGGCTGGGGTTCCTAGGCTCTACGATAACATAAATCATAATAAATAACCTACTTTTCTATCTCTGCCTTCTCAGATGAGGATGAGAAAATGTAAAAGTGAATAAATATAATTGACTAAAGTAGACAAGTTGTCTATAGTCTGCTCCCACATATCTGTGGAAATGATTTTTAAAAATGAAACGATATATCCTCAATGCTGATAAGAAACTTCATTATACATACTTTTAACCCACCGTATAATGGATTAAGGCCTCAAGTGATACATCAGCGGAATTTAGCTCAGTGTTCCTAGCAGCAGTATTCCAGCTGTTTGAGAGATTTTTTTTTTTACTCCAGGTAGGATGGTAAAAAACCCAATTCTATATCCCTTTTACTTCCTGAACATATTTTTGGGGCACATATCTAGGACCAGAATAGATCGTGTACTTGTTGTTACAAAGGGTTTTTGTTTTGTTTGGTTTGGTTTGGTTTTGAATAAACCTTATTCAAATATACATAAAAACAGAATGAAGGCTAAACAGGATTTATCATCATACATTTTCTCATCTATGGCACTTTCTGTTCAACCCACTAGAACAGTTTGGGGGCTGTGTAACTGGGTGTCTCTTCAGAATTGGGGAGGAGAAGGGGATTCCAGTCTTGGGCTCTAACCAAACAAATAAGGCTCAGGTCCATGCAGGGGTGCTGGAACAATTTGTGTAGTGGGGACGCTGAAAGCCATTGAACCAAACTGTAAACTCTGTATATAATGGAAACCACATCAAGCCCCGGGCTGTTGCCGCACCCCCAGCATCCCTAGTTCCAGCACCTACGGGTCCGTGCCCTGACCTCTTTTTGCCACCTTTTCCAAGATCGTTTTCTTCACCTCCTTCCCACAGTACAGTACAGCCTACCCAATCCCTTATGCTTCTTCCCTCTTTGCCTGAAGGAATTTAACACTATCTGGGTATCTTCCCTCTTGGTGCAGAGTAAACCCCCGCCCCTTCCCTTCTTGTAGATCACCCATCATAGTGTACCACACTCTTTTATGTCTATCTTCACAATACAAGGGGAAGTGCTATTGTCCCCATTTTACAGATGGGGATTGAAGCACTGAGAAGCTGAGTGACTTGCCCGAGTCTGTGGCAGAGCAAGAAATTGAATGTGGGTCTCCCAAGTTCTAGGCTTTCATCTGGTTCAGAGATGTTCCATTCTGGAAAGCATGTCTCTGACAGATACCGTCTAATCTCTTGTACCAGTCTGTTTCTCCAACAATTCTTCATCACCAGAACGTTCCCTAGCACTTGTGGCTTGGTTTATACGACTAGTACCAGTCTCCCATAGGACATCTGAATCCCCAGTGAGACACTTTCCTCTGTATTTAAACATGTAATTGTTCTTTTACAAACCCAAGTGTTGCTTAGAGTGTCCTTATGTGGGATTTGGACATCCTATTGAGATGACCGTTTGAAAATTGGTCCATCAGTGAAAATGTTTTATGCATGCTATGTTGTATATTGAGCATGTCATTATGGCAGAAGAAGTGAAACATGCCGACAGCTGGAGAATTGTACGTGAACCCTGGAATTAATTATTCACAGGCAAAAACAAATAATAACTATATCAGTACATTTTCCATGGTTTTGCAAATAGAAAGCTGTGGAGATGGTTATTCATTTTCAGTTGACATCCATTTAACTTAATCATAGGGTCAAGTTCCAGACTGTGATTTGTGTTTGTGTTGACACATATTCCTTGAATGTATAAACCGGTCGAAGCAGCGCGTTTTTCTCATATTTGGGTTCAATAGTTGAGCTGAAGTAACACTAAGCAACAAGATTTCTTTCTAATCTTAATGGCCAAACTTAAGGTCTGAGCCCATTCCCTTTAAAGTCAAAGACTGAACTTTCATTGACTTCACATAGATGCAAGATTCGGGTACCTAGATTATGCACCTAAGAAGGAAATACAAGCAGAACTCTGAACCATAAGACCATTGTGTTCTTCAGGACAATGGAATTTCCTCTGGGATTCTTAGATACATTCACAGTCAAAGGGACCCGTGCATCAGAAATAAAAACCTCTCTGAAGAAGTGCTTAAGCTCTAGGGATAAACTGGGGGATTCCCCTATGTTAGTACTGTAGCATTTATATATTCATTTAGCGCTGTGTTTTGTGTGCTTCCTCGCTCATCAGTGGTTTTACCGGGATCTTTTTTTCTTTTCTTTTTTTTTCTTTTTTCAGCTGGTTAATAATCCACTGGCAAGTCAAGCAGCAGCGGCTGCAGCAGCAGTAGCCATGGGCTCGATAGCCGGCTCACAGGCCTTTGGCAATGCACTCTCCAGTCTGCAGGGGGTCACAGGTCAACTAGTCACTAATGCACAAGGACAGGTGAGTGGAAGACGGAGAAAATGGTGAATTCTTCTGGCAGATTGAGCTTTGGATAAAAATGAATTTCTTTTGCATGACAGCAATTTGTAAGTGCCCATATTGAGGCTAAATAAATAATGTTGACCAGGAAAGGTAAGAAATGGAAATGTTTCGGACTGGGGGGCGGGGTGGTGTTAGAATGGGGAATTTGTTTTTTAAACTGCAAATGGTTTCGCTTTTGCTTTTCTAATACAGTCTTGGGAAAAGATTACAAGAATGTAACAATGTGGTATTTTAAGTGTGCAGATTGTTGCTGCGTCTCACTTTGCTAATTCAAGAACCTGATAATTCTCACCAAAAAGCCAGCAGTCACTCCCCATTTCTAAGCACAGATTTAATAACAGAAATCTACACTGAAGTCTTATAGTACCAAGGCTGCATTATTTTTATAAACTATACCATTTATTAGTATGCAACAAAGCGTTCATAAAATATACCACACTAGTCAAAATAAATCTACGCAAAAGAATTAATGGACACAAATCTGACATCAGGAATCATAATACTCAAAAACCAGTGGGA